CTGCTCGCTCTATTTATTTACCTTCAGCTTTACCTGTGCAGACGCTTATCATGCAATCACAATTTGAGCGTGAAACTCTGCCGGTTTCCTATATTTGCCAGTTTCGTCTAAGTGAACTTGAAAAATCTTTGCAAACATGCTGCATTGAAGCTTTTCCGAGAAAATGTCTTGTTTCACGGATAACTTTCTTGGTAACAAAAATTATTCGGATTCATTTTATAATTACTTATAATTAGTTATTTTAGTATGTAAATAGAGGCGGCATAATTTTAGGAATCTTATACCCAGTCTAAAACCTATCTCAGATTTATCGTTGTATTCTGAAGCTCAACTAAATTATTGATTAAACATTTTTTCTACAAAAATAGATGAATCACAATAAAAAGAAACTACGTTCGATTTTGAGATGGTATTACAACTTCATAATGACACCATTGTGTACGTAGAGAATGTTTTCCCGTATATGGACTCTCTGCTTCGCATTGTTAAAAATTCCTTATATTGTCTCAAAATCTGCCGAATTAGTTTGTGTTATGGGATTTGCTTGGGAGATCTAAACTAGTTAAACTGCATGCTAATGCATAGGCAATGAGTCCACGTGTCCTTGAATGGGAACTGATTCTGAATCATTCCGGAAAAGCAATTGACCAGATAGATGCTGGAAGGATGACCATGTGCCCAAAGTATCGGTTTCAACTTACCACGCTTTATAAAGCAAAGGTAATGAATAGAGATTTTTAAAGGATTGATCGATGCGTCTTATCTGGCATTATAACATACCACATGAAACCCACCTTTTTAGGCAGGCCCGTTGAAGGTTCAGTTCATAGAAATACAGCTTACAAACCCAGGTTACAACCCTGTCATTTCCGAGCAGAGCTGATTGTTCTTTATCGCGCAAATTAAGTTTGGTTGTTGTTCGTTTTTTTAGTTGCAGGCTCTTAATGAAACATCTCTTCCCTAGTAATGCTACTGCATTACTCACCTAACACTTTCTTCACTCAAGCTTTTCTCTAGAGAGTAGATTTCTGGTTTTCTACCTGTGTGTGTGTGTGTGTGTGTGTGGGAGGGGGGTAGTGGGTGGAGGGGGACACATGCTAGTGACATCGTTACACCCCTCAATCCTGTAGGATAAATGTTGTCATCCATGCCAGGAAGAAAAAGTACCATTGCGTGTAAAAAAGTGTCTAAAGCATTCACCCGCAAGAGGCGTTTGAGCAAATTCATGGAGGAGAGAATCTACAGGAACACTGGCATTGTCGTTGCTATAGGCTCTGTCTGGTAAATATATACTGTATCTATGTTTTCTTATTTCTGCCCATGATACCTAGGGGTGGCACTGTTCTTCCAAGCAGATTCTTTTACTCTCCCCCTTATAAAAAAAAACCTCTAACTGGTAAGGAAGACCATTCTAATGACATATTAACTTTTATTATTAAAGACAGGCAGATGTACCTTGCATTCGCTACCCCAATTAACGCATATACTAAAACACTATTGTTTGTGAACAACCAGCTCTTTCACCGAGAAAATAAAGTTACTTTTTTGCATTGTTTTCAATCTCGAAAACCGATCATAATTTGCAAGCGCCCTAGAAGGTTTTCTGTAATGCGAACTGAAGGACTATTTGCTTGAACAGGTATCATTTGCTTCAATCCGTGTGTTCTGATCATCTTTTTCCTTGTACCATTTCAGCCATTTGCAGCTCATGCCAAACTCTAATTGCTGACGCTCCAGCCATCCCAGCTATTGAGAGACACGAACAGCAAGTGACGAAACTAGCTGCATTCACTTCAACACCAAAGTCGTTACCTAGGCAATTACCTCCACCACGCATTTCAGCACACTATCGATTATCCGTTGGATCAGCTTTTTCTGTTCCTAGCAGCTCTTCGCAGGAAGAACAAGTAAGCATGTACTTACCAGAGGGCGAATGGGAGAGAAGAAACCTTGAGACTCTAAACAATGCAATGGCTGCCATAACGGATGGTAACTTCACCTCATTACCCCACTATGTTGACTGCAAGTGGGAAGCACTGTCTGGGGCGTCAAAGGAATAATTCATAATAAGAGCCGACAAAGTGGTTTCGTACGTACTAAACACCATTGCTCCTTCACAGCAGGAGCAACTTTGGGAAGGAGTAGTCAAACGTTGCCGTTCTGTTGTGGGAAAAATTAACAACACCACAATTGATGTGGGACTCGAAGCAATTTTGCTGGCTTCCAATGAATGTTCAAATCGGTTGACAAAAACTCAGATATTATCACTCATAAGTGACAGGTTCTCTCAGTCGGAACTCCAGCAGCTTCTCCCAGGAATCAGCAAATCTTCCAAGTAGTCATAGAGAAAAACGTTGCTGTCATCGCTTCTCTTGTGGAAAGTCACCCTATACAGCATGCTCTCCAGTGACTGGGATATCTGAACTCACGAGAAAAGCAAGAGGACGTATTGCCTGCATCTGCAATTTTGGAGGATGCAAAAACAGCACTTCAGGCAACA